ATAGTGTGTGTTTCAGCTCTGTACTTAGCTGTTTGCCTGGAATTCAGCTTTAAAGCTATACAATTCTAATGTATTAATATATGCCTAACAAGCAACAGGGCTGTTAGATCTTTTATTTTCTGTTTGGAATTAATTTGATTGTTTGACTCTTTCCATTAGAGGTGATCTTTTGTTCAATATAATAGGACTCTTTTGTATCTCACCTCTCTACGGACCCATTGGTACCTGTTGGAATTTGCCCCTTTCCAATCTGTATAGTTTTGATGGCAACACTTATAGAACATTAGTTTACAGTATCACTTGTTTTTATTAATATAGCACATCCGTGTGGGATGGGAGCAGCTTCTTACCACTATCGCCAGAACTATCAATGAGGTAGAAAACCAGGTCCTGACACGAGATGCCAAAGGTATCAGCCAAGAACAGATGAATGAGTTCAGGAATTCCTTCAACCACTTTGACAGGGTAAGTTGCATGTGTCTGCACTCAGATTATCACTAGACAGGTGCAGTTGTGTATTGGCTATATGATGGAGACCACCTAGAGATACAGTACAGACAGACTACAGTAGAGATAGCCCCAGATGTGCATGCCTGCTACAACTTTTATAAAAGGGTCCAACTCCTTGCTGGATGTTTTCTTTATTTTACATTGAGAATAATAGGAAGAGTCGGGACACTTCTTTTTGTAACAGAAATTATAGCCAGGGCATTTAATTTCTGAAGTCCCCCAGAGATATCAGATGCAAATGGGTGACTCTGCCCACCAAATTCTATCGCTATTTGAATTAGAATTTTTAGGTGACCTACTTGATTTATATCAGGGTAACATCCATTTTTCTTACCAAAACACAAATCTTTGTCTCATGGGGAGTGCTGGTATTATTATAGTACTGGCATCACATTTTTTTTTGCCTGTTTTTATTTTTGTGTGCTGCCCACTTTAGGTGGTTTTTTTCCCCCTCAAATATTTAACATTTTTTTAATAAAAAGCATCCCTTTGTCTGATGATGTCTGATCAATGATATGAGTTGACATATACTTTATAGGAAAACTGTACTTCTATACAGTTATATTTTAACTTACCCTCTTCCTTCCCCAGCACTCCTCCAAAGTCTTCCTGTTTTTACTATAGTCCTACTGTCTGCAGTGTTGGGACACAGAATAGAAGACATGGGGGGAGGATAGGGGAGTGCTGGGGAAAGTTGATCATGTGACTGTATGTATAGATGTATTATGTGTTGTATAGATGTACTGTTAGTTAGAGTTACACAACTGTGGAGCTAGGAAGCATGACTAGTTTACCATTACACAATAAATGGACCTTACATGTCTTTAATATAAACGTTGTACTGACTAGACTGTGGCTGTGCAAGAGAAGCATGCATGTACTGCTGTAAAGAGCACTAGTATATGCAGATCACAGTAATGGCGCATGAACCAATATAAATAAAGTACTGCACACAGTAAACATGCATGTGAACAGCAATTCTCTGCTTTTACTGCTGCACCAGTCTCACATCTGCTGGTATATATTTCAACAATTTCATGATATTTCTAAATGTATTGGTGGCTTAGTCTAGCAACAGCATTCATGAAAAACTGAAGGGGGGATGACAAGGGAGTCGATTAGTAGCTTTGTGGTGTAATTTGTTAAGAAGCATCACATTTTGGAAATGTTAGGGTGGCAAGATTTGGACAGTGATTGACCTCTCCTTCAGGCCCCTCATGCAGAGTCCAAGATTACACCTAGCATCCTGGCATAAATGGAGGGGCAGATAGTTGTGCTGTTAATCTTGATGGAGAAGTTGGGGAGGGGACATAGGTGGGAATATACTGAGGTCCGTTTTTGAAAGATTGAGTATGATGAAGTGATGTGAAAATCACACTGATGTGTCCGACTAGACAGACTGGGCGAGTTCAGGAATAGAGGGATAGCTTTGGGTGTCATCCGTATAGAGATGAGATAGCAGGACATGGAAGTTTATCAAATGACTCAGGGAGGAGGTGTCAGATGACAGTGCCTTAAGGGACCCCTATGGAAAGGAGGAGAGGAGGAAAAAGTTGTAGGTGACACTGAAGGTGCACTAAGATAGGTAGGAGGAAAGAGCCGAGCCTCCAAGGCCAAGCAAGTAGAGTTTTTTGTATTTTTTAGGAGGAGCGGGTGGTCTACTGCATTAAAGGCAGCAGGTCTAGAAGTATGAGTACAGAGAGTTTTAGGAGGGCAGTTTCAGTGGCGTGTTGTGGGCAGACTCCAAACTGTAAGGGGTTGAGAAGGTGGTTTTCAGTGAGTTGGCAGATTAGAGAGTTGTAATAACACGTTCAAAAAGTTTGGAGGCTAACGTGAACAAGGAGATGGGTCTTACGTTGTTCAAACTGATAGGGTCCAGTGAGGGCTTTTTAAGTATGGGGCTGCCCTGTGTATGTTTTAAAATAGTGGTAAAGATGTCAGTGGAGGAGAGCTCGAAGATGTTGGTTAGAGAGAGTTAACTGGAACAAGAGGGAGACCATAGTGGCTGTGAGGGATCAGGGATCAGGTTAGGTAGGCCTCAGAAAAAAAGTTTAGCAACCTCCATTATGATAACAGGGTCAAAAGAAGCAGGTAATGAATGTGGTGGTAGACCTGGAATGTTAGGTGGGGAGAGATCTGGACAGTGGAGTTCTTATAAATCTTGTTTTTTAAATGATTGGCAATCTCCTGCACAGTGTATGAGTGGGGAAAGAAGTGGAGAGTTAAAGGTAAAAAAAAGAGTTGACAAGGACTGGATGAGAACGTGATGAAATAGGTCTGTTTGGCAGCATGGAGACTAGAATTTTATTTTAGGAGGGCAGAGGTGTACAGGTATTTAGTTGTGCGCCATAGTCTCTCAAAGGTTTGGCTAGGTTTTTGGGGTTTTTTTTTAAGACTTCTGGTGTCCTCTGTTTGCCAAGGTTATAGGGGTTGAAGCCTGATTATGCATATGTAGTAAGGAGAGCAAGAGTATTTGGGGAGGTTGAGAGTCAGCTGTGGTAGATAGAAGTGGCCAGCTTAGGGCACGAAAGCTTCTGGATCCTGCCAGCCATGTAGCTGCTGGTTCTCTGCTCCTGGGCACTGCTAACTCTATAGCTGCAGGAATTCTTCTGCTGGGCACTGCCATCAGGCTGATGATGGTTACTACTTGGTGGAAAGTTGAAAACACATTTAATGCTGATCCGTATAGATTGCAAAATAAACCAACAAGGACTGTAAAGAGTCATGTGGTACTGGTGGTTTTATGTTTGCATTGATTGCCATTGTTTTAAGAATGGATTTTATCCTATTCTCTATTCTGTATAGCTGGGTTGAAGATAGAAAATGTGTTCCAAAAATAAGGATGCCGATAGTGCATAGAGATTGGGAGACCTAGTTAGAAAGAAGATCAATTAATCATCTCTGGGTTTCTCCCTGCTTCCCTATGAGCCTCGTCTGTAAGGCCTCATTCACACACAACGCAAGCAAAATTGTATATTGCGTCTATGCGCGTATATACGAGCGTATATGCGTGCACTATATGCAATCCCAGAATGCATCACTCGTAATGGAATTTTTAATGTGCTGTATGCATGTATGCGCGTAAACACGCCGAAATACGCTGCCCGGACGCATCTCTGTTCCATTCTGTGTTTGCGCATTTATACGCTACGCAAATATACGGCTCTATACGCGGCTGTGTGTATGGAGCCATTTATTTGCATAGGTTGCATATGATACAATACGCAAGTACGCGCGGCAGTGTGAATGAGGCCTTAAAGTGTGAGACTATTGCCCCCAGCAGCCAGTCCTTCTGTATTTTTGGCCATGTTAGAACACTGAGATGAAGCTGAAGGGCAACACAAGTAATTCATCTTTCAGACACTTATGTACATGATGCACATGTGTGTGTTAGGCTGGATGTTACTCTAGAAACATTACAAATTTTGTTAAAGGTGAATATCTGTTTAGTGTAAAAGGAATGCTAAAGTTGGGATTGAGGGGGGAATGGGGGCACCTGTGTGTACAAACTCTAAATCATCCACTGTTAAATGCATCCTTGTCACAAATATTAATTCTAACTTTGTTCTTTTTGTTCCCTCCATCTCATGCATGTCCTTTCCTGCTTCCTCTGCATGACCCTTTATTCACAACCAACCTTTCTATGCTCTCACCCTGTCACCCATCCCCTGGCATGGCATGTCCTGGACACCTGAACTGTCACTTGCTGTAACAAGGATCACAACGGCACACTTGGCCCAGAGGAATTTAAGGCTTGCCTCATCAGCTTGGGTTACGATATTGGCAACGACCCTCAGGTACTGAAAATCAGAGTGATAAGTTTAGCCAGGTATTACATTATAACATGACTCTTGGTTTCCCAGGCACTGCGAACAAATGTTTTTGAACATCATACTGAGAGGGAATAATTTTATTTTTCTCCCTATTTCTTTGGTGTTTTATACTTTTCTCTTGTCTACCCTGTTCTTACTCTTCTCTTCCATTCTACTCTACATTTTCTTTTAAATACCTTCCAAACCTCTGTTTCTGTGATACCTCTATTACTATATTTCTTATGTCTTTACATTTCCATAACACAATCTTTCTATACCTCCATACTGCTGCTGCTTTACCTTTTTTGTCTTCTGCTCTTTACTGCCTGCTTCTGTTCTGTCTTCTCCACCAATGGTCCTCCTGCAGAAGAAGACCGGTATGCTGGACGGTGAGGATTTCCGAGCCTGCCTTATCTCCATGGGTTACAATATGGTAATGTAAATTGCCTGCTTGTATTGTGTGGTACTGTAAGAACATAAACTACTCTGTACTACAAAAATCACACCTTCTCTGGCTAAACGGATTCTTTATAAGGGCCAGGAGAGCTGACCCGTCAAACTGGCTTCACTGGTTGTCATAACTCTTGTCCTCTGTAAAGTATGTGTAAACCCTAACAATGAACTTTTTTGCTCCGTTAAATATTCAACTGAAAGTGTTTGTTATATCTGTTTGATAAGTAAAAAAAAAAAAAAATTTGATCTTGCCAAAAATATATTGAGCGTGTAACTTCCTGTGCATTCTGCTGCGCTACCTCAAGCAGTCTCATCAGCCCTTCACAGGTGTAACAGACCACATCCCCTATGTTAAGGAGATAAGTGGGGGATGTGTTCTGTAGACCTAGAACATTTCCTTCCTAGGATGACAACACTTCCCCTTCATAGATACAGTGAGTGAGCGTTGTCACTCTAGGACTAGGAAGTGCGTTACTAGCAGGATCATCAGGATGAAAACTAATGCAGAAACCAAATCTAAAGGATTTGGAAGCTGCAATATATTAAATTTATGTTCTTGGGTTTAGAAACCCCAACTCTTGTCAATGCTTTCCTAAACTGGCCGGCAACTTTGATGTCCTGTCACAGGATTGTAAGGGAAAGAGTCCTGTTCCAACATGAAAGGAGTTGTCAAGGCACTACTTGCACCTGTTTCGAACACAACTTAGCTATGGAAACCATAAATTAGGACCTGCAACTCTTCAGAGCTGCATAAATGGCTCATGTTACATTAGCAATCAAGTATATCTAACTGATCAACAGAACATACTAATCAGTATATACTATATTAAGGTTGCCAGATTTTCAAGATGAAATCCGAGGACACCCTACTGATCATGCCCACTTTTAAAACACACCCACAAAACTTTACCCCCATCTGTAGCCACTTCCACAAAACCTCACCCCCATTTTTAGAATGCCCTGAAACAGTTGGTCACAGACTTCTGGAAGAAGGAGCAGAAATTGAAGATATAAAGGCAGAGTGACCTGGACACTATAAGAAGTGAAATAATGTGGTGTGCACAGCGCTCTGTGGTGAATCACACGTGCTGTCAAATTGCACTAATAGTGGGAGCGGCTGAAGATGCATGGTTAAGTAAACCCTGAGCCTACTCTACTATGAGTCAAGATTGTTTAATGCACAGAGTGCAGGGATCAGGAGCATGTAATGCATGGACTCTAGGGGTCAAGAGTTCAACTGAATATTTTAAAAGGAATCCTAATTGAACCAGAAAAAAAAAAGATTTGCTCATATGATAGAATAGGTACTGAACCTATCCTGCCCCACGTAAGCTACAATGGATTTGTGTGATGTAATAGAAGAGATGGGAGCAGATAGTAACACACTGGTCTGCATGTTGTTTATTTGCCAATACAAGGAAAGTAGGCAAGACGTGTTAAAGCTTAACTCCCGTCAAGAGTTTTCCCTTAATTTTCTGTCTTGGTGACACCTGCACCCTTCGATCTCTTATCCAGGCAAGTGAGTGGAAATCCTCCCCAATGAGGACAAAGACCGCAAAAAAACCCAAAAAACTTGAGGTTCTCATTCTTACCCATTCTCTCAAAAACTAAAAAAGTTTTGAGTTTTAATTATTTCAACAGTTCCTCCTTTAACCCCGTCGCGACTGAAGACGTACACTGTACGTCTCCATTGTGAAGTGCCCGAATGACTGCTCACGTACACTGTGTGTGAGCAACTATTCGGGACTCGGGAATGCCGGAAACCGCTGAGAATCAGCGGTTACCATTCTTTATTGGATGCCTCAGTAATTAGGCATCCATTCATGAAGAATAAAGCTTTTGTAAAAGCTTAATTCTTTCATTATTGAAAGAATTAAGCTGTTACAAATACTGGATCGCTATTAGCGATCCAGTATTTGACAGATGAAATAGCAGAACGGTGTGCACACCGCTCTGCTATTTCAGTTTTGTGTACAAGCTGTTTGTTACATTCTTCAGCACAGAAACATGTAACAATATATTTCTATCCTGAAACAATCTTTGGGAACAATCAGACACCTTTAGTGAGATCTGTGCTGACATGCTGCAGAATCAGCACCTTAGGATCAGTCACTAAGTTTATTATTGGCTGTTCTTAAGTTTGGAGAAGCCTAATTAAAACCAAAAATTAAAAACATTTATAAAATTATCAAGCAGTCATAGTGACTGATTGATATAATTTCAAAAAAAAAGTGTATAAAAAAAAAATACAAATTATCAACGCGATTTAACAGCCTTTAAACGTGGGATGATTGTTGGCGCGAGCCATGGAGCGAGTAACAGCAAAACAGAATTCGTTAAATGTTCAAGAGCAGCTGTTAGTGTTTAAAGACTGGACTGTCAGCCGAAAATCTGGGTCTGAATTGGCGAATTGTGGCCGCCAGCGACTAGTCAATGTTAGCGCAGAACGGAGAGTGTCAAGACTGGTACAGGGCAGAACGAAGAGTGGCAAGACTGGTACAGGGCAGAACGAAGAGTGGCAAGACTGGTACAAGGCAACAGTGCAGTGTCAGATTCCTCACATCACCTTTCAACATCTCGTGGAGTCACGAGGCGGCCCAACGAAGTCATCTCGTGGAGTCATCTTGTGGCCCAACGAAGTACTGATGGGGTGGTCATAATAATCTGGCCACTCGGTGTGTGTGTGTGTATATATATATATATAGAGCTGCAGCTAACGATTATTTTCAAAATCGATTAGTTAGCCGATTATTAAGTTCGATTAATCGGTTAATCGGATAAAAAATACATTTTAAAAAATGGCTCCAGTGATGGGACTTCTAGTTTTTATATTGAGATTGCAGCAAGCTTGGAGCGGTGGAAGTAAAAAAGAAAAAAAAGTGTGGTGTACAATATAGTGAAATGAAAAGTGTAAAATTATACAGCAATGAATGCAGAATGGCACCGGCTATAGAGGACTACAAAACCCAGCAAAAGCACATTATACAGCACAATGCAGAATACCACCAGCTATAGAGGAGTACAACAAATCCAAGCAATAGTACATTATAGCTGGTGGTATTCTGCATTGCGCTGTATAATGTACTATTGCTGGGTTTTGTAGTCCTCTATAGCTAGTGGTATTCGGCATTGCACCACTGTATAATGTACTATTGCTGGGATTTGTTGTACTCTATAGCTGGTGGTATTCTGCATTGCTGGTGGTATTCCTTGATTTGTAGTCCTCTATACAGCGCAATGCAGAATACCACCATCTATATAGGAGTACAACAAATCCCAGCAAAGGGGGTTCTTATCAGTTTGCGCAGTTAGGGTCTGGAACGCGCTGCCTCAAGCAGTGATTTCCGCAAATAGTCTGGAATCATTCAAGAAGCTTTTCGACGATTTCCTGAGAGACCGTAATGTACAAGGGTACAGGTACTCTTAAGAATGAGAACACTCAGGGACCTATACACACACACACACACAAGTGTTCTAAAAACTGGAATCAATGAAATGAGGATGCCAATCACTTTATAAAAGGAATAAAGGAGTAAAAAACTGTGCCACTGCTGAAAGTCCAGTTCAATCCTCATTTACAAATGTAAAGGATGCAGTCAGGCTACATATACAGTAAAATAGAGCGCTTTTTTTTTTTCTAACTGCCAATTGCGGCAGTATGGGATAACTGATCCCGTGCTCTGTTACACATAGGTGAGCCGCACCACAGCTCATGGTCCGGTTCTCCAGTGGTAAGACTGGAGAACCCCTCCTTCATTTCAGTAATAAGTAACAAGGGTTCAATTGTGCTTTTAGGTTGAAAACTCCAAGGCTGTCAATCCTTATCTTACTTTACCACTTTGTGACACACTGACCCAGAGCAAACATGCAACAGTAAAAAGTGTCAGGAGACCCGATATGCACATTTGTTTCTGGGGCAGTTACTCTGAGCGTACACATTCACATCAGATGGAAATTCCTACATTTCTATCCTGAGATTCTTTAAAAAGGGAAATTATTAATTTTACCTTTAGGATCTGCATTTGGGAAAAGCCTGTTCCAGGGAACCTTATTTTTATGAGGGAGGGACAGCAAGTAGTTTCTAGCTTTCAAATTTATTATACAGTTTAAATCCTCTTGAGTAGGAGATCCAAGAATGCCTGTGAATATAAAAACAAAAAACACTTAGTACAAATCATGCATTTTTTAACCCCGTAATTAAAAACGTCTTAAACACCTTTAGTGGTTGCCCTTACCAAGGATATGATTAAGTTGATCAAGATAATGCTTTCCTGGAAATATGGGCCTATTGGAAAGCATCTCTGCAAGAATGCAGCCAACAGACCAGATATCAATTGATTTGGTATATCCCTAAGAGAAAATGAAATACTGTTAGGAAAATAAAATATTTTATATAGTATCAAACAAGAAAAATTTCCTCAAACGGAACATGTCTTCCAAAGGGTAAAATGGTTTATAAAAGCAGAAATGAATTGGGCATGGAGAACAAAATGTCTAAAAAGTCAGGAATCTACTTCAAATTAGTTAAGTGCTCGATTTGGTCTAGGCTACAAAATAAAAGATACCAGCCCAAACCTCAGTCCAGTTCAGCTCTCTCCGCCTCATGTATAATATAAGCCAATGGACTGGATGACCTCAGCGGGACTTAGATCACCGAAGCCCAGGGGAAGAGGCTGCAGTGATCCTAGACCTAAAATGAACACTTAACCCTTGCAGTGCAGGGAGTAATCGTCAGGTTTCTCTTGCTGCCCAACTCCATTGGGGGATTTCTCCTCACTTAATCCCTGTGTGACCAGGACAAGTGAAGACAGAAGACAGATTGCCAGAACTGGAACCAATAGACAGCCATTCAAGCTTTACAGGAGGTTCATAAAAATGAAAGTGAATATGCCCAAAAAGGACACAGGCAGCAAAAGAAAACAAATGGAAGTTCTATCCCTTCCCCACTGTATCCAACATGAATGGCTTTTTTTCCTGGAGAAAGGCTTATCTAGATGCACACAAAAAAAACAAAAACCTTTCCTTAAAGTATATGAAAATATGGCTTAAATTATACCAGAGCTAAAAAAGTGAAGGTGTGCTCTCTTATAGGGAACACTTAAATGGCAATTGTTGCCAAGCAGTAACCTAAAAGATGTACCATGTTTTATCCACTTTCACCTGAAAATAGCTGTGCACCCCTGTGCCTTCAATAGCTGTACATTTGCAGTATGAGATCTTCTTAGACACTCTGGCTGCTACCGGTATTAACATAGGATTTGATGATGCCACTACTTTGCCCCTGTACAGAGAATGTTGTACCCGAGAACCTGCAGTGCAAGACTCTTCCCGCTTCATTCATACTATGAATCTGATCTCTGCCCCGCCTTGAAAATTCCCAACAGGTTGTCGGGGAAAGTGCCAACATGAAGAGGCGAAGCTCTGCCTATACCAAGATGGCTGCTTTCTCATAGGGACAGTGCAGAACAAGGCATGCTAATCCAGTAATAAGAAAGATGAATTGCAGGAACCTACAGGCAATGCTGGTCACTAGTCCCTTGCCTTCTGCTCACCTTTTCCAGGCAGATCAGACCTTCTTTAAAAGCTGTACAAGCACCAAAAAAGCATTTCACAATATATATCAAATATAGGTGGTATCTACCTTGGAATTTAACATGATCTCTGGTGCCCGGTACCAGCGAGTTGCAACATACTCTGTCAGGAAACCAGTGTGATCATGGTCTGGGTCTGCAACACGTGCCAATCCAAAATCACAGATCTGTATGGGGAAAATTAAAATTAAAAAAACCAACACTAGAGCATATGAAAATACTATAAGTAAAGCTCATATTTACTCATTTAAAAGGGTTTACTACTTAGATCAAAAGAATATTCCCTTTACTTATCTAAGTAAAGTTAAGTCAACACATCACACATAGAGGGAGGGGAAAGAGTAGGAGTTACACTATAACACAATGATGCTAGGAATAATAGATTTTGTAGCACAGAAATGTACACAAAGATTTAATACACGAATAAGGTAGGGAACACAACGACAACACAAGTGAAGGTGCCCATACACTGTACGATTCTCGTACGAGAATCGTGGGAAATCCCGCGATCGGACGAGAATCGTACAGTGTATGGAAGGCGTGCGACCGTTTCTACTGTACGGTCGCACGTCTTCCATCGAACAAGCAGGCTGGAAAACCTACCGAGAATCGTACGATTCTCGGCGAGTTAGTGGCCTGCTTGTTCGACAACTGACGAACGGGCCGGTGTGCGCATGCGCACACTGCCCGTTTGCCGTCCTTGCAAGCCCGCCCCTCAAGGTGATCGCAAGTACGATCTGCCTGTCCAAGATGGGCAGATCGTACATTTTTTTAAGTACTTTACATCCCTTGCAAGACAAAAGTCTTGCGAGGGTTGTAAAGGGTATGGGCACCTTGATAGAGAGTAGAGACACATATGGAAACGATGGAGAGTAATGTGGGAATAAAATGGAAGAGAAAAATCACAAACAATAAAGCAGACCCGCTCTCTTCCTTTTAGCGATTTAGTGTCAAAAAGCAGGGCGATATTTACAGCACTGGCGGTCACTGTTTGACAACTGAACACACTGGGATTAAGAAATCCAGATGTCTACAGGCTTTTTGCTACATGGTTTCAGAAGAGAAACATTAAGCAAAACGTTTCTAATTTCACTAAGGTTATTATTGGCTGTTCCGAAGTGCTGTTCCCTTTCTGACAGTGACATTGTATGCCACTACTGTATACGCTTTGAGAAAAAAAAGTTTTAGCTTTTAGTTTAGGCTGAAAATTACAGAAAACGTTTCTGAAACCCTAGGGATGCGAGGCGTTTCCAAATAAAGGACAAATACATTAATTTATTTTAATGCATTTTTTTTAGCCGTGCTAATTCTCTAAAAAATAATCAAAAGTGCGGAAAAAGTATTTACATTTTTGAAATATATTTTATTAGTTCTAAGTGAGGCGTTAAGCATAAGTGATAAATATATATCCCTATCTCTCCTCTAAAAAAACAATATATAATATGTAAGTAAGAAAGTATATTACTGCCGTGGAAGAATCACACAGCAAAAATGTAAAGTGTGTCAGTCAATGACAAACAGAAACTGAAAAAATGTCATGAAGGGGTTAAAAACTATGCTGCTTTTGCATTAGATTCAAGATTTTGTTTTGATGGGTTTTTGAATTATCCATAGTCTAAATCTAGTGCAGTGAGCCATAATAATCATGAACTAATTTGATTATTTTGTCTATTAATTTAAAAAATCATAAAGTTAAACAAACAAACTTGAATCCATTTTTGCTACTTTATTTTGGCTAAGAATGAGCAAATCTTGAATTCCAGAAAGTTTATCTCCTGATCAGGTTTGTTCAGTATTGTAGAGAGTTGTATATTCAACAAATATGCTTCATGCCTATTTCACAAACAAGTATGACTCCTTGGGATCAGATGTGGGTCTGCTGGTCCAGTCCCTTCATCTGTGGCCCAGCAATGTACATTACAGTCAATATGTTTCTTGGACCGGAGGACTGAGCTGTTTTTTGTTCAGCTTTGAGAATGATTATAAATAAAGTTACCCACTGCCTTATTATATAGGGAAAAAATACTGCTCCAGATACCAAGCAGAGTGGGAAGATCTTGCCAGTATGAAGGCACAAAAAGCTGGATGATGTAGTCTATCTACAACTGCCCTTATTAGTGGCCTGATCTACATAAAGAAGGTAGATGAGGCCAATCGGTGGTATTTCATTTATACTGCAATGCTGGTCTAAAGACTCTCTTATTATGTAGTTCAGACAGAATATAACATTCCAAGCATTGGTTGACTGAGTATATCATCCAGGTTTTTATGGGACAATAATAGTAACACACACAGGAATCTATTACATTCTTAAATATGAAAACATAAAGTGAAAATGTTTATGGTCAATGGAAGAAATTTGAACACAGACATTCCAAGACTATTTAAATGAGTCAATTTCCCAGAGATATGCGTTGATCCTGATTTACTAAAGGAGTAGAGTATGTTCGTTCTGAAAACTTGAATTTTACTTATCTTGGTGAATGAGCTAAAACAAAGTGAAAATTCACTTTTTACCCAACCATGTGCAAGGAAAATTTTAAAAAACAGGAATTCTTGCTTGCATGTGATTGGACGACTGAAGTCACCACAACTTCACCCTATTTACTAAGCCAAGTGAAAATTCAGGTTAGGGCCATACCTGGCATACGCATTAATTCCACCATCCACACTAAACAGCAGGAATGGGGAAATCCCCTGCTGCTGGCTATCGTATTCAGCAGTTGCTGCTTCAGGGGCTACTACACATCCAAACAGCAGATCTATCTGAATGCAGGCAGTGTTTGGCCAAGAATTTTCAGACCAGCTCCTTACAAAAGCAGCAATCAGCTGAAATCTGAGCAGTGTATGACCATCTTTACAGTCCAACAAACTGGGAAATATTACTGGATGATAGTGATCATCACTGACCACTAACCTTATTATGGCAAGTAATAATAAGAATTGGGAACATTGCTGTTATGTATGGCAGGGTCGCTGGGAGATATTTGTAAAAGGTCTAAAATAATGATGACTGGATAAGATGTTGCTAAGGAATCATATGCTGGGCAACACGTTCTCGTATGCCAAGCTTTCTTGGTTTTGCAATATATGCTACTTGGCAACAGATCCTAATGCTTTCATAGAAGCAGCTCAGGGTGTATTTCCATATACTGTCTGCAGCGGGAGGTATTGTCACATTAGAATACTAACATTCTAATATGGTTCCTTTTGTAGGGTGAAGCAGAATTTGTCCGCATTATGAGTATTGTAGATCCTAACAGACTAGGAGTGGTAACATTTCAAGCCTTCATCGACTTCATGTCTCGGGAAACTGCAGATACAGACACAGCAGACCAAGTTATGTCGTCTTTTAAGGTCCTGGCTGGTGATAAGGTATGTATATTGTCTTTCTTATGCCATTAAACACTGGAACAAAATACTGTCTGTCATTCTTGTTTGCAGCTAAATTTATTTAGTCATCAACTTAAATTTAGATCTAAAGAATTAGAAGATGGTTTGATGTACCTTAAAGCAGTGTCCCTGGTCATTAAGTCGCGACCCAAGTCGCACCGCACTGGAATGCACAGCATTGTGGTACCCCGTACTTCAGTGGGGGCAATCGAACTTTGGGCAGGCGCACCGCATTGTGGTACTGCGCATTCCGGTGCAGACAATCTAACTGTGGCGGAAGGTGCATTTGGGGTGCCATTTAAATGAACGGCAATGGATCGCACCTTCCGCACCATAGCGCGTGGTAGGTGTGATTGCGCAGTACAGTGCGGGTCCTCAAAAATATTGACACACACAACCACAGACCCAATCAAAAAAATTAATTTTATTTTTCCAGTCTCCCTACCTTACAAGAACTGGAGTGGATCCTTAGCCTGGGGCCCAGTGTGGGCTGCTGTGCTGTGATGGAGTTCCATCCATCACAGCCCAAAAGGGGTCTAGTAATAGAGTGGGAGCGCAACTCCTGTTAAAGGCGGATAATGAGTGAGGTTGCTCCCGCTGCAGCCGTAGGTGACCAACCACAAGTTTTACAAATAGCCACTGCCTGGTTCTATGCCTCATAACCTCAGAAAGAAAAGCCATTCCCATCCCTTAGACAATATGGACAAAGCAACTACCTTATACCTTGGGGGTCTATAGGAGCAAGTGGCAAGGAAGGAACATTTGGTCCTCAAGTTATAGAGTCTCTGTACTAGCAGTGTAGTGTTTTGCCATGTTAGCCGTGGATAGTAGCAGGAAAGGGTTCTCTTCCTTGGCGTCCTACAGTACCGGAATAATCCTATAACTATGCACAAGTATACTGGACAAATTAACAGCAGACAAGGATATCTAGATGAGAAGACAATGTCAGCATTGTTGGTATTTCCTTCTGCTTCCAACCAAATTCAGATCTGCCTAAAAATTGCAACTGGAATGAGAAGCTTCGAATTTGATTAGTTGATTTAAATTTTAAAGTGACACTAAACTCCGGAGTTAAATCTTAAAAATACCCTAACTATTAACAGAAATGTAGCTTATTAGTGTATCACTCAGCTGTAGATCCTCAAATCATCTCCGAATTGGTGCTGACACTGGGGGGGGGGGAATTTATCAAAACTGGAGCAGCTGTGCACAGCAACCAATCAGCTTCTCACTCATTTTCAAATCTGAACTGAGCAAACTGAAGAGAGATGTTGATTGGTTGCCATGGGCAACTGCTCCATATTTTGTCTGCTCCAGTTTTGAAAAATTCCCCTCACTGTCTCCTAGCTTCTGGAGGGTGGCTACTTTTGTTCCCCATGGTCCCTGTGTGTGTGTTGTAAAGTAGCCACTGCTCCAAGCTCGCTCCCATGATGAACTACAATCTCATGTTTAGTTTACTCATTTGTATTGAGATTGTAGTCTATCGTGTGAGTGAGCTTGGAGCGGTGGCTACTTTACAGCACACACAGGGACCATGAGGAACAAAAGTAGCCACCCTACAGAAGGAAGGACAGTGTCAGCATGAATTCAGAGATGATTTGAGGATCTACAGCCGAGTGATACACAAATAAGATACATTTTGGTTAATAGCTCAGGTACTCAAATGCATTTTTAAGATTTAACTCCTGAGTTCAGTGTCACTTTAAAGAAGAACTCTGTGGGGGAAACATGCTTAGCTTAGTGTGACTTTAAGTTTATAGTACTAACATTTAGAGGCTCATTTATAACGGAAAGTGGATTCTGCTATCTGCTCCCCATTATACGACGCAGCACTATGGAAACTGTGGCCTGCATTTTACAACCGATTTATGAAATGTGGGCTGCGGGGTACGGTTAGTGGAGCCCCACAGAGTTCTCTCTGCTTATAGCAGAAGAAAGAGTTTTGTGAGTGGCCATTCATTGTCATTGCGCTCTGCTTGCTTCAGAATCCCGAAGCCTACAGAGTGCAGTGCCCATTTGTAAAGCTCATCATTGTGCATTATAAATGTGCAAACTTCTGTTTTTCTTTTCCAGCAGTGGTATTGGCTTCAATGTGGTCATACTGCTGCTTTTAAAAAATGAACCATCTACATGTTGCTTTTGTCTCCCCCTGTGCTTCCAGAGGTATTTTCCTCTGACCTCCTCATGCCCACACAGGTACAGGGATGGAGTATAATGGCTTTTTACGAACATTATAACCAATTTAGCATAATGTACTTTTTTTTTTTTTTACAGAATTACATCACTGCAGATGAGCTGCGTCGTGAGCTTCCTCCTGATCAAGCAGAGTATTGCATTGCCAGAATGGCACCGTACATCGGGCAGGACGCAGTCCCAGGGGCTCTGGACTATATGTCTTTCTCAACAGCGCTGTACGGTGAAAGTGACCTTTAACCCACCATTGCTCACCTCTATGTCACTGCAGCGCTGATTGTCCACCGCTCCTGTATGCAATGTGGTTTCAGCTTTCACGCCTTTTTCGTGTCTCCATAGCTCACAAAATGAAAAACAAAAAATCACTCTCTTGCTCCTGCAGTGCTCAGAACTTTTTGTCTTTCTGGCATTACAGGACATGTTAATACCTGTTTATCCTTACAGTAACAGTTTACAAATCAAATTTTTACTAAAGACCTTTAAAGAAAAGCATATTTTATTATGAGAGGAATAAAAGGTGAAATGTATTTTTCTGCCAAAAGTGAAAATAGCCTTTTTGTGGTTTGTCGGACATGAATAGTTGTAATGTTTGAGCTCCTTGCCTGTCTTCTTTTTTGCTACCACTTGGGGGAGCAGTGACTGTTTACTAATTATGAATAGGCATGATTCATTCTTTTTCATCCTCCGAATACAGTCTCTTTCAAACTGCAATGTGAACCATTTAAAGGTTGAACCTCATGAAATCATCCATATTTTTCTAAGCAGAAACATTTTCATATGTTTTCAATATTTAATGTAAGATAAAGAATTATCTCACCAGCTCAACAACTTCTTTTTAACATTGCTACCATGGTTTGTTTTGAGATATGAAGCTTCAATAATTTGTTCTCAATATCTGCTTGTCACAGACCTTATTAAAGAAGTCCCTGTTTAAATTTTAATCATTTGTGTTGGTTACTTTCCAATAAATGACATTTAATAATAATGTTTATACAAAATGCTGTGTGTACATGGAATTCTTTTATCCAAGACGTCAAAAGTTTGTGGCTGAGGCTACCCAGAAGAGTCTGGATAGGTCAAGAGGAACTGGCGGCTGTGTATGGGACACTATAGGTACACTATGACCAAAATGTGAGAACAGCCCTCCACAGTATTGAGTTCAGGTGCACAAAGACAGCTCCATAAAGACACGGTTTGATGGGTTTGGTGTGGAGGAACCCAAGTGACTGCACAGAATCCTGACCTTAACCCTACTGAACATCTTTGGCATGAACTTGAACACTTATGATCTAGGTCTTCTTAACAAACATCAGTACCTGACCTCATAAATGCTGTTTTGGCTATGCAAATTTCCACAAGTGAAACAAATGGCAAACGCACTCATCAATTCACAACTAGCTTTAAAGTAAGGTGCAGGTAAAGTAAGGTGTTATTGTAAAGCTAACTATGAATTGATGAGTGTATTTGTCACTTGTTGGATTTGTAAACATTTGAGACCCTTACTATTGGGGTTTTTGAGGTATCACAAAAGATCATTTTGATTAAAAGTTACATAGTTTATTTAATAAAAGATCATAAAAAAACAACGCATGAGTCTCATCAACATTCCAAATTCTACCAATAATTTCAATTGCACAACACCCTCGTGGGTCCTTATTTTCTTGAAGGTTGCTGTTCTCCTGTACATTCCACTTGCAGTTCTAAGCGTTTCGCTTTATTGCTTCATCAAGAATCACAGGTAGGTCTGAATGATTATCGCATGACCAGATCATTATCACCACCATACAGAATATTGATATCAATATCAAACCATGAGGATAATGTATAATTGGTATATCACCATTTGTCACTTATAATGTCACCATTACCCATTTAAATAACGCATGCAAAAAGATCTTTTCGTTTGGCCATTTATCTAAGGGAGGATGTCTATCCCACCTCGCTGTGGGGTTGGGGGGCATATATTAGAAGGGAGCTTCCATCCGAATACCTATGAGCTATTAGCTACAGTCATCATTTATATCCAATCATCTAGGCTATTTTATATATACTATTTATATCTGGGTAAAAGGGGACCATATGTTATAGAAGTGTGTTGTATGTATGACTACCATTGTCCAAGCCAAATTAGTTTTAAGAAAAAATATTGATAACTCATAATCTACCGATTTATAGATATCGCCATATAAATTCATTATATAAATTATACTATAGTCATACCTAATTATGTTATAAAACAATTCTGGCAGCAAACACTGTAGTGAACATATACCTGTCAACATGATAGTGTAATTTACTCCCCAGAGCTGGTCAATCTATAATAGCAGTGCCTATCAAAATAATAGTCCTGTATGCTGTTCTATGGAAACTGTAAGGTAGCTATGGGAGAAGCCACAACGGTATTCCTGCTTTATATTGCACTAAATTTACACCGTGAAGGGATTTAAAGTGAACCTGTCAGGAAAGGAATATACAGAAGGAGCTGCCACTAGTGACTTTTTTTGAAGATGATTGCTACATGACTGTTATCCTCCTTGATTCACAAATTAATTAATCAACATCCCAGAACAGCATAGATCGTAGGTGTCCTGTAGAGATAATGGGTATGGTATGATAAAAACTGTTGAACATTATAAAGTCCTTCATTCAAAACACAAGTAAACCAAATGGAATTAGTTACTATATAATTCACGATAAATGTATTTTCACATGCAAACTTTTTTTCTTCAATCTGTGTTGAAGTAAGCCACTTGTAATCCCCTGCATAGTAGCGGTCTGACTGGGAGAAGGAAGAGCAGCTTACGCAGTCAGGGCCCATTCACACCACATCCAGATTACCTCCAGACCAGACTGTTTCTGGACCCAATATGCATCCCAATGTATCCCTATTCTATTTCTGGCCTCTGTTCCCACAAGCGCAGTCCGTTCCAGACCAGAAAAATACTGCTTGTCCTATTTTATCTAGTCTGGAATGCATCAAAATGCATGGAACGCACCTGTAAGACCATTTTAAGCTTAAAAAAATATTTATATAAATCCAATCGCTGTAAAATCGCAGCACAAATGCAATGCACTTTGTTCCAGATCTGTGTCACGTACCTGATGGAGCTTGAGATGACGAGGGCGGCCCCTCTCTTGCAACTCTGGTCCCAGAAGGCCTGGTAGAGAAGACAGGTAGTCTGGGGCACAGCGGGGCACGAGTGCCTGGATGAGGACTTCGGTACCAGAGGGTAACTCGTACGGTCTCTTGCCGTGGGGGATAATATAAACGCACAGCAGGGAGGCAGACAGAGAGTAAACGAAGTCAGGCAGACCGGATCAGCAACGTGCGGGCAGAGAGGTTGTATGGCATAAGGCAATCTCGTGGTCGGGTCACAGGCCGGGTTTGGTAACAAGCGGGCAATGCAGGAACAGGCAGGGAGCAGGAGAATCGTCTAGACAAGCCAGGATCAGGATACCAGAAGGTCAGCGGAGTCAGGAGCAAGCCGGAGTCAAAACCAACAACTAATAAACCAAGGAACAGACACAGGATACTAGGCACAAGCTGAAAGAACTCAGCACTGGAGACATGGAGGAGCTGGGTTTAAATAGCCCGTTTGGCGCCACAACACGTCGCAGATGCGCGCACGTGACGTGCTGCGCGCACGCGCACGGACGTCTACGCGAAAGTGCCCGGCCCGATACTGCGGGTCACGCCGTGCTCGCGCGCATGCGCAGACGCTATCTGCTGTGTGCAGTGTTCCTGACAATCTGGTCCGGAAAAATGGTGTGAACCCAGCCTCAATCAGCAATCTTTTGTTTGGTATTGCGCATGTCAGTCTAAGGCTGGCCATACCCCCATCAATTTTTTTTCGTTAACCCGCGGGCTGAATGAAAAAAAATTGACCCGATTCCTCCATCGAAACAAACAGCTCGTCAATCGAGGAATCATGTGCCGCCGGCACCGATCAGAATATCCGATCAGAGTGGGCGGCTAAGTGGCTGCTGGCTCTGATCAATTGAACATTTTCCAGCCCACTCCTTCGATCAGCTGATCGAGGAATGCTGACTGAAAGGGAGCCGACAGCCTCACACACTGTGTGAATTTTGGGCGGTACATTAAAAACTGGCCGAAATTCGACCAGTGTATGGGCAACTTTAAGCTGGCCATACACCTATAAATTGTCGATTGGAAACCCTCTTTGGACCCTAGTTCAAATAGCCCATCAAGCACAGACCAATGTCAATTTTGATAATCGTTCGATAGCAATACTAACTCAATGAAATTTCATCCATCGCCAGAATGGATTTTCGTTTGCGCATATGCAGTGTTCTTGCTGTGATTTTTTTCATACGAAAACGCCACTAAATCATCAATTTTCGTTCGATTCGGAAAAAAAATTCCAGCTTGACCAAGGAAATTTTGCCAGGAGTACAGTTCCGAATGAAAATCAATAGGTTTATGGGCACCTTAACATGTATGACAGACTATTTGCCCAGCAAGAGAGTACCACTGAAGAAACAGGCTGAATTCTTTCTTTTCACTCCCTAGCGATTACAGGGATAACCTCATTAATTTGCTGCTTTACTTGATTAATCGTTATGCCGGAGGAGAAGAGGTGACTAAGATAAAAGAACTTCACTGTCTGATTCTTCTACATTCCCCTTTCAGATGAGTGAGTACCATTACCATCATTTCGTGGTGGGCAGGGTGTTGAACTGCACTCATGAAGAATGCCTGCTCATGAACTCATGAAGTTCTGCATTAAACTATGGAATGTACATAAAGATGCTAAAGAAGAAAAACTTTAATGGACAGACAAAGCTGTAGACAGAACAGAAGAACATAATGGCTTTGACGGACCAGCTGTCACATCTAGTCAGTAGTGCCAAAGTCCACTGAAGTTCACCAACTTCCAGCTGGCAGCTTTACAGGTCATTTCCACTAAGCCTTTTGCATAGTAGACCAAGAAAGCCTCCACATCTCTGGATGAATATACTCACTCACTTCAGGCAGTGGGTGTAGAAATTCTTTAAGCATAATGAAAAGATTGTCTACTCTCCAGGTAAGTAGCAACTAACTACATGATGTCTGACCTCTTCCATCGTTCTTCATATGGAGTTGGAATTGAGCCAGGAAGGCAGGCAATATGGATTCCCTGTTGAAAGGTAGATAACACTTACAGGATAAAGTTAGGATTTGGCTTTAGGTAAACAAAAAAAAACTAAAAAAAAATCTATCCTGCAGAGATGAACAAAAGGGTTCTTTGCATGAAAAGGCTCTTAACCCAGACACTCCTCTAACCAAGGTAATGGCTAATAGTGCCTATGGCAAGCACTGAAATTGTGCCCTTTTCCAAAAACTGACGCCCATATTTTAGATAAATTTACCATATCAACTAAAAAAAGCAAGTCAAACTTGCATCAGACTCCCCAGAGTCCCCGCTTACATCAGACTCCCCAGAGTCCCCACTTACATCAGACTCCCCAGAATTCCCCCTTATG